ATTTTTTAGTTTAAATCATGTAAGTATAATAGTGAATCCTCAAAAATATTTTTAACAACTCAGGGAGCTATTTTGAGGTCTTTGGCCATGGTCTGAAAAATCAACAGTTGAAAGATCCAGATATTTTTTCTGGAAAAGCAAAATTCTATTCACTAATACAGTAATTTGTCTTATTAATGGCTTATATAAAAGTATAAAATGAAAAATGAAAAAAAAATCCTGAAATTTCTCTGTGTCTCAAGGCTGATATTTTTTGCAAAATACTATAAATATTTCCAAAATGACAAGCATGTAAATGGTACTATTCAACTGGAAATTATTCAGGGAATCCCTGATGAAGAGGTTTTTGGCTACTTCAGATTCACAATATCTTATGTAAAATCTTAAATATAATGTTGTATTTCTCTTTCAACATAATGAATTTTATGAGCTCTTCATGTATAAATTCAGATCCATAGAAATTTTTTTAAGACTAGAAAGCATTTTGTTTCTCTAATTGTCTCATGGTTGCCATGGCTTTAGAAGCATTGAAGTATTCAAAAATCCCTTCTCTCAGTGGCCATGGCTTTTCTAAGAAGCTCGTGTTGCTGCTCTAATGAAACCAGGGGCTTTCAGTGGCTGTCAGAACTCTGTGACCACTGCCGTGGCACAAAGCAAAGGAACCTGTCTGAATTTATTTACTAAATTCTATCTGCAACAGATCAACTCTTGAATATTTAGGCACAGAAAATGTTGGAAACTTGGAAAAGACTTCTCTGGGACTGACTTTAGAATTTACATTTTTTCTTATTTGTTCAATTTTAAAATCCAAAAGTATAATGTGCATGTATTTGCTTCTGGAGAAGTGCTTTTTCTTGGGTCTCACTGTGCTATTGGGATACATACCTGCTATCACTGACTACTCCCTTAAAATAAGTAGCCATGGTGTATTTATTTTTGTACTTAAAAAATTTTTTTTATAAATAATTTTGCTACAGGGATTGGGTGCTCATCAGAGAGAAACAGAGAGGGAGAGACAGAAAGCAAGAAATCGTCTCCCATGGGGAGATGGCCACTCGACCATTTCTCCTCCTCCATTCTTGTCTCAGGATTTTGGGTAAACATATAATTTTTCCATGTCTATTTGATTATAAGCATGATTTTTTTCTTCTAAAATTTTAATTAAATCAGATAAGCCAGGCATATTCATTATACTTATCTTACGATTTATTATACTCTTTAACTCTGATAACCACGAGCAGTAAGACATTTCTCTTCAGTAAGAGGTCATTTCCAGGAATGAGGGCTGCTTGTTAAGTGTAAGATGTCTCAAATGCTCACCCCCGTAACAAATCTATAATCTCGGGCTTTTTCTGAGTTCACATTTGTTCTGAAATACTATCTTAAAATAAAGTTAAAATTAAAATTAATAAATAAGTGTATATTTCTTGATCAATCAGAGTCAAGAATGTTATCCTATTTAGAAGACACAGAGAATGTTAAAAGTATAACAGAGCAGAGGGCAAAACAGAAGCAAATTTTTTTTCTATTGCCATTTACTAAATGAATCATTTGTTGTGTTGTTTTTTTTTTAATACCTCATTCATCACATTATCAAGCACTCAAGGAACTTATGAGTCATTAGGAAGGGTAGGCAAGAAATTGGCTCACTGTAGGCTAGTCAGAATTTAAGTGCTGGAACAGAGGGGCACGTACCGGGGCGTGGGAGTCCAGGAGTGCTGAGCACGGTGACAGAGAGTGGGGGAGGCCTATTGGAGGAAGGAGTAGGTACATGCAGGCATTGGAGTGCCAAGATTTGAAGGTTGGGGTAAGAAAATCACCATAGATTTGCTAGTGAATGTCTACCAACCTTGTTAATTGTAACAAATCAAGAATATGAAATTTGAGAGAAATAGCTATGGTGGACCAGATTCCTTTGAAAGCATCAGTTTTATTATATCATATTTTAAACTTGGATATTTAATTTTTAAAAATGTAGACCTTGGCTGGGAGAAATCCAAAACTAAGAGACAGCAATTTTCTGTGATTCTATTTCATGACGCATCAAGATTTTGGAATAAGTCAACAAGTCCTTATTATTGAATAGATTCATTCCTTACTGATATTATGGTTCTGCCTGATCCTACTGACATAGCCATTCTCTGCTCACAATGTCAAGGGCAGCACTACCAAAAGACTGTTGTGTGTTGTTCAAGGTGAAACATTAGGAAAACACTTGTGGCTGTCTCTAATGGAGGAAGGTAGGCTTATAATAAGCAAAGATAAATAAAAGTGGATTTAATTGATTGGTGAAATATGAAAGAATGAATTAAGTCAGAACAGCACATTTTGCAGACTTTTTAGAAGTTTTAAAGAGTTTTCAAATAGGAGTCTGGTAAATGGACATTTTATTTTCATTTGGCAAGTAAATGGTCAAGTGATTACCGTGTTGCCATCCAGTGAGTGACATGGGCCAATCTAGACTGTATTTTGCTCCCTTACTCCTTTCATTGAAATTGTTTCTGCTGAGACTGGCTGGCTGCCAGTCATGGATACTGTAGAGGGGATTTTGACCCTCAGCTGGTTTAAAAGTCATTTCATAGTCTTAAAATTCTAAGTATCTTTGATTCTGTGATTTAAGTTTCATCTTGGGCAACAGAAAAAGCTGGTGGATTTAGAAAGTGTTCAGTTTGTAGAAAGAGCAGAACTTGGAGAAAGGCTGGCTAGACAGAGGGGGAAAAAAGGAAAAGAAGTTGAACATAATTCAGCAATGTATTTCTTGGTAAATTAGCTTAGTAGTTTACTAAAGAAAATTTCAAATTTTAAATCTCAGTTAATGAGTGAAAGAGAATCCAGAGCGCCATTTGGGAAGACATTAAATAAAAGAATTTATTTTGTTCTCTTTGTGATGTTCCACTAAAGTGCCTCTTCTTCATCTCAAACTTCTGCAATCACTTTTTAAAAAATGTTCATGTATATGTATACGTATACACACACACACACACACACACACACACACACACACACACACACACACACACACACACACACACACACACACACACACACATATATACACACACACACGTTCTGTGCAAACATTCTACCTTAGACTTATTGTGATTCTTTCAAATATATATAAAAAAAAGAGTTGTATTTTATTTATTATACAGCTACTGAGAAATTGTCTATTTCCACTAAAATTTCAGGACTTGGTTTTGCAGGCTTCTCGAACCAGTCACTTCAAGGACAGTGCATCAAGGACAATTGCCAGCTGCTCTGTGAACGAGTTTAGCGCAGTCTTAACTCAATAAGCATTGAGGATCTCAAGGGCATCAGTCTTCTCAGTCTCACAGTTTACATGGCAACTGTGTGAAGGAGAAGCTGAGGGGGAGAAAAAATATATATTTATGTAAATGTGTATGATAATTTAAACAGATTGGGAGTGATTTTTCTCCTTAGTCTCTCATCCATTTTCCTCTATGCCCCTCACACCTTTCTAATCCACTATCGAGGAATAACCTGTAATCATTAATTCTGGAAGCAACAAGAAGGTGGAGTAGGAAAGTAATATTCATTTTTCAGTTTTACTTTTATTAAAAACACAAGTTTAAGTCATTTTTTAAACTAGCTTTTAGGAAAAAAAAATATATCCTTAAAAATTCACTTATTTCTGAACTTCCTGAAGAAAAACTCTCAATGGTAAAAGCAAATTTATCTTTTTGCTTTATTCCTGATAAATCCTCTGCCAATTCATTCAGCCTACGGCCAGAATGCTGGCAGTCTAACCATGACCAAAGTTACTACTGTTCTGCCGAGCACCCCTGCAGTCTAAATAATACTTGGATAATGGAGTACTAAGCCTGAAAGCTTCCTCAGAAATTATTTGGAAAACCATTGTGCTGGTAAATGCATCTGTCTATATCTATTTCTAAAGCACTAAATCCAATTTTGGGCCCTCTAAATGAAAATGCTCTATTTCTGGTATACGCTGAGAATGCCTCTCATGAAGGCTTACTCCACAGGGACATTATACTGAATGGTAGCTAACAAAGCTTTTAGCAGATAATGCTATTCCCCCAATCCATTCATCCAAAGTTTCTTTTAAAAATTAGGTTTCCCAGACCATGGATAGAAAACTCTATGAAGCTTTGTGATAATTAGGACAGTGCTTTTAAAGGCTTATTACTGCCTGTAAGAACGTTTTGGATGATAAAGGAAAAAAGCAACATTGATTAACTGGCTTTCTTTTCTTTCTTTTTTTTTTTTAAAATTATTTACTCTTGGGATCTTGGGCACGCACGCACACACGTCCGGTGTGAGTTTAAGCCACCGGGTCCAGGACTCAAACCACGGTCAACTACATGGGAGTCCAGCAACATAGCCATTACACTAAGTGCTGGTCCCTGGCTTTCCTTTTCACTCAGGTTGGAAAAGAGAAGCATAGGCTAACTTGAATGTGGGTACTAGATGTGACTGGTAAAGTCACAGGAGAATTCTAATATGGCTTAAGTTTTTTCATAGTAGACTTTTTTCTCTAGAAAATTATGATAAGCTTTGCAGGTCAATGCAAAGAAAAAAGAAAGAAAAAACAATAACAAAAAAATAATATGCAAAAAAAGATGCCCTCTCTTCATTTTCTTGAGAAATTTTTTTCCCACAGATTATACTTTTCTACTGAAAAGAATGCTTTGCTCAACATTGCTAACAAGAAATATTTAAGAGCTCTTGTTTCCTTCTTGTTAGTTTACTAACTTGAGGAAAAATTTCTTGCCTCAAAATTCTATGTGGCTGAGATTAGTGGCTATAGAAAGAGTATTTAAATAAGTCAGAGAAACTGTCTTAGAAGTCCTCATGTTGTAAAACCTGTATCAGGAAGCAAATACCTGACATTCATTTGGCAAAGTGGGTTGTAATATTGTATTATCAATTGAGAGGGTAGGGAAGTTTTATTTTTCTTAATGTGTTATGTGAATATATATACTACCATAGTTTTAAAGAAATTTAAAATTAAGGGATCAATACTGACCTGGCAGGGGAGATACCATGATCACAAAAGTGGGTTTTCCCAAGGTGAAGCTTATCCACTGCACTCCAGTCGTGCTGACCCCGTGATTTCCCCAAATGTGGGAAACTTGATTGCATTATTTGTGGTAGTGGGGGACTGCGTTCACGCTTTCCCCTGATAAAAGAAAAAGAAAAAGAAAAGAAAAGAAAAGGAAAGGAAAGGAAAGGAAAGGAAAGGAAAGGAAAGGAAAGGAAAGGAAAGGAAAGGAAGAAAGAAAGAAAGAAAGAAAGAAAGAAAGAAAGAAAGAAAGAAAGAAAGAAAGAAAGAAAAAAACTAAGGGATCTAGAATCCTACAAGAGATGACATGTTTAATAAATATTAGAAATTGAATCCTGAAGGCTGGTTTTTGTGCCAAGAGAATGTAGGGAGAAGAATGAGACAGCTCACTCAGTTGAAGACAAGTAAAATAATTCCAAAGGTTAGGAACATAACCTGGTGTCTGTCTTGTCTCTCTTCTTTCTATTATTCTTGATTGCCCTCCATTATACTAGAAAAGTGAGATATTTGACTATGATTTTAAACCATGAGTTCTCTAAGAAAATAGTTAAATACACAATGGAATACCACTCAGACATAAAAAACAGGGAGATTTTGTCATTTGATACAAAGTGGAAGAATCTAGAAGATTTAATGCTAAGTGAAATAAGTTGGACTATGAAAGACAAACACTGTATGTCCCTGCTCAATATATACCAATGTCTCTACTCTATGATAGAAATTGAAATATTTGAATGCAAAGAAGTAGAGAGCACAACTATAAACTTTAGAGATGGCATGAGGCAGAAAGTGGGGAGGTTGTGTCAGGGAGAAGTTTGGGAATGGGACTAGGCTGAAAGTCCTTCAAATTCCCTTCCTCACATCTGCAATACCTCGTCCTACTCTCTCCGTCTATCCCCACTATTCTTCAAAGACTTCAGTCGTGCCATCATGACAGAATCCTTTCTCATGCCCACTCTGTCCCACTAACCAGGCTGCTAGTTTCTGGACCCACTTCCTACTCAAACACTCATTTTGGAGGATACTGAGCTGCCTTGAAAGAGATTGTCTCGATGAAGAGTTCACCCAAATTGTCCTGTCTATCCTTTCAAAGTCATAGCCATTGGATGACACTCCTTTGTGGGTCCATCATTCCCTATGCATATTGACACATTCTTAATGTATGACATAATTATGTTTTTTATAAACATTCAATAAATATTTCTTTGAATGAAAACAGAAAGAAAAATAGAGCTCACATTTTTTCTCAACAAACCCTTTTTGAGGATTTTATCAGAATTCCAACAAGAAAGAGAGCTTTCTCCACAGGACATTTGAAAAGACTTTGGTGGAGGGATCATTTACACAGTAACATCAGGGCTCAGGGAATCAATTGGAATGGCAAAAACACTCAGGGGCTGGCTAGCAACTGCAGGGTCCATTGCTGTCCATAAGCCTGAGACGACAGGAAAGATAACAAGTACTAGATAGATTCCAATAAGAGTTGTAGCCATAGGGATGGGGTACCAGCAGGAGCTGAGGTCTTAAGTACGGGAAAGGCTGCCAACTCTGGGATCAGCAGGCAGAAAACACAGAATAAATGCCTTGAGCTTACCTTCTGCTGCTACCCTCTTGTCTCCTACTGATGGCTCCCATTGACTGAATTCAGCTAGAAATCAGAACGTAGGAGAGCTGGGCTAAAACAGCTTTTAGAATGTACTTCCTAGGCACAATGCATGATAGAGAAGACTGCAGAAGTGAACTGGAAAAGCGAAGAAGATCCAATACAAACATCTACCGTGTGCCAGGCAATACATTAAATTTATCATCATATTTTCTTGATACTATAACAAATTAAAGTGGTAGATTAGGAAGAGATCATAGAAAGAATAAATTTTGATTTCAGTAAAGAATTGAAAAGTTTTTTTTTGTACAGAATTCTGAAACTATTAAATAATACCTAAACCATTTAATAATATCTAAATGTTTGCCTATGGTAGAATACAAATGATTGAAGAACAATAACTTCTTTATTTGTATCTGTTTTTTCAATGCCTGGAGTACAGAATATATTTCTTAAACAGAATTGCATTTATGAAAGAACTCTAAAGATATTTAGTGTAAAGAAAAAATGAAAGGGAGGTACCCACGATAATTATTCTCAGGTATTTATGAGATTATGCCATTGTATATGAGAGATAGTACTTTTATTTTGTCTCAGGACACTCAGGGGTTTAATGTGCAGAGATAAGATGGAAAAAGAACTCTCCAGCTGGAACTGGAAGACTATGTGAAATAGATCCAACTCTGTTGCCGGGCATGCATAAGAAAACAGGCTGGCTATGTACACATGTTCCTAAGGAAGAGAGCTTGCACTAGTTGTGAGAGTTTTTGGTTTCATTTTTTTGTTAGATTGTAAATGGCCAGTATCATCCTTGGATTCCATAAATTCTATAGCTTTCACAGATTTTAAAAGTTACTTTCAATTTATTAAGTTCAGTAGTATTTGAATTTCCAAACCTATTTCCTACATACTCATATAGCAGCTTTATTAACCCATGATAATTTGCAACTCTCTATTCTTGATTAGTTGTATAATTTTTAGACAGAAGCAGCTTTTTTTTTTTTTTGATGAAATTGATTGTTTGCTTATAGAGAAGCAAGATGCATAGCAGCTTGGCACTGCTTTCTAAAACCAAGCAGCCTCGGTTCAAATTTTGCCTTTAACAATAACTACTTTTATAAGTATGGATAAATAACTTTAATTGCCAGAGCACAAGTGTGCTCTCCAGAGAGAGATAGGGAGACAGAGACAGAGGAGTAATAGGGAGAAAACATCCCCCCACAAGGGGACATATTTATATTGTTATCTTTTCTCCTCTTTTTCTCCACCTGTCAGGATTTGGGGGCATGTACACACACACACAGATGCACACACGTGTGTTTAAAGGAAAGGAAAGGAAAGGAAAGGAAAGGAAAGGAAAGGAAAGGAAAGGAAAGGAAAGGAAAGGAAAGGAAAGGAAAGGAAAGGAAAGGAAAGGAAAGGAAAGGAAAGGAAAGGAAAGGAAAGGAAAGGAAAGGAAAGGAAAGGAAGAAAGAAAGAAAGAAAGAAAGAAAGAAAGAAAGAAAGAAAGAAAGAAAGAAAGAAAGAAAAAAACTAAGGGATCTAGAATCCTACAAGAGATGACATGTTTAATAAATATTAGAAATTGAATCCTGAAGGCTGGTTTTTGTGCCAAGAGAATGTAGGGAGAAGAATGAGACAGCTCACTCAGTTGAAGACAAGTAAAATAATTCCAAAGGTTAGGAACATAACCTGGTGTCTGTCTTGTCTCTCTTCTTTCTATTATTCTTGATTGCCCTCCATTATACTAGAAAAGTGAGATATTTGACTATGATTTTAAACCATGAGTTCTCTAAGAAAATAGTTAAATACACAATGGAATACCACTCAGACATAAAAAACAGGGAGATTTTGTCATTTGATACAAAGTGGAAGAATCTAGAAGATTTAATGCTAAGTGAAATAAGTTGGACTATGAAAGACAAACACTGTATGTCCCTGCTCAATATATACCAATGTCTCTACTCTATGATAGAAATTGAAATATTTGAATGCAAAGAAGTAGAGAGCACAACTATAAACTTTAGAGATGGCATGAGGCAGAAAGTGGGGAGGTTGTGTCAGGGAGAAGTTTGGGAATGGGACTAGGCTGAAAGTCCTTCAAATTCCCTTCCTCACATCTGCAATACCTCGTCCTACTCTCTCCGTCTATCCCCACTATTCTTCAAAGACTTCAGTCGTGCCATCATGACAGAATCCTTTCTCATGCCCACTCTGTCCCACTAACCAGGCTGCTAGTTTCTGGACCCACTTCCTACTCAAACACTCATTTTGGAGGATACTGAGCTGCCTTGAAAGAGATTGTCTCGATGAAGAGTTCACCCAAATTGTCCTGTCTATCCTTTCAAAGTCATAGCCATTGGATGACACTCCTTTGTGGGTCCATCATTCCCTATGCATATTGACACATTCTTAATGTATGACATAATTATGTTTTTTATAAACATTCAATAAATATTTCTTTGAATGAAAACAGAAAGAAAAATAGAGCTCACATTTTTTCTCAACAAACCCTTTTTGAGGATTTTATCAGAATTCCAACAAGAAAGAGAGCTTTCTCCACAGGACATTTGAAAAGACTTTGGTGGAGGGATCATTTACACAGTAACATCAGGGCTCAGGGAATCAATTGGAATGGCAAAAACACTCAGGGGCTGGCTAGCAACTGCAGGGTCCATTGCTGTCCATAAGCCTGAGACGACAGGAAAGATAACAAGTACTAGATAGATTCCAATAAGAGTTGTAGCCATAGGGATGGGGTACCAGCAGGAGCTGAGGTCTTAAGTACGGGAAAGGCTGCCAACTCTGGGATCAGCAGGCAGAAAACACAGAATAAATGCCTTGAGCTTACCTTCTGCTGCTACCCTCTTGTCTCCTACTGATGGCTCCCATTGACTGAATTCAGCTAGAAATCAGAACGTAGGAGAGCTGGGCTAAAACAGCTTTTAGAATGTACTTCCTAGGCACAATGCATGATAGAGAAGACTGCAGAAGTGAACTGGAAAAGCGAAGAAGATCCAATACAAACATCTACCGTGTGCCAGGCAATACATTAAATTTATCATCATATTTTCTTGATACTATAACAAATTAAAGTGGTAGATTAGGAAGAGATCATAGAAAGAATAAATTTTGATTTCAGTAAAGAATTGAAAAGTTTTTTTTTGTACAGAATTCTGAAACTATTAAATAATACCTAAACCATTTAATAATATCTAAATGTTTGCCTATGGTAGAATACAAATGATTGAAGAACAATAACTTCTTTATTTGTATCTGTTTTTTCAATGCCTGGAGTACAGAATATATTTCTTAAACAGAATTGCATTTATGAAAGAACTCTAAAGATATTTAGTGTAAAGAAAAAATGAAAGGGAGGTACCCACGATAATTATTCTCAGGTATTTATGAGATTATGCCATTGTATATGAGAGATAGTACTTTTATTTTGTCTCAGGACACTCAGGGGTTTAATGTGCAGAGATAAGATGGAAAAAGAACTCTCCAGCTGGAACTG